AACGAGTATTGAACCTGGATCTTCTCAGAATATAGAAGAAATGTCTTCTCATACCTTAGACGAAATAGTAAGCAAAATTGATCGGATCGAAAGGTTTCAAGAAGAGAGTTTTTCATGTATTGAGAGGAAAATGTAGGAACAACATGATCAGTTGCAAAGTGATTTCAACTCGTTCGCATCAAGAATAGAAGAAACGGTTGACATCCTTAGGGAATGCATGACAAAAATATCCAACATGATGAAGAAATTGTCACTAGCCTCATCCTCCTCCAGTCAGCCTCCACCTCTTATACTAGGATGAAGAACTATTGAACAACCTCCACCTTCTCAATATCTTTGGGGTCAAATACTAAACTGTATATATGCAAATATGTTAATTAATAAAGTTTGATTTCACAATATGTTCTCAATTAGCTGAACTTCTCCAATATCATATGAATGTTAATTCTCAGTATAAATGTTATGTTCGAAGATTATATTTGCCACAGTATCATATCATTAATTATTGTTCAATACATATCTGAATGCTCATGTATATGTAATACTAAACATAGCAAAATACATCAAAATTAAAATCTGAAATGAAATGTAGAATAATATATACTTAAATGTGACGATAATATATACTGAAAACATTCACAATAAAGATAATATATACATTTACATTATTATTATGAATTCAGCACCCTAGAACCAACAATCTACTCTTACCCAACCAACAACAAAAATAATAAAAACAAAATAACTGATTCAACATATAGCTCAACTGCATTCATCAGAAATTAACCACAACGCGAATAATTTCTACCGAATACAAATGTATATGCTCCAACCGGTTAATGATATCAAATCTCTCCCAACCAAAACATGTTCATCATTTACATCCTCCTGTCCAGTACATAAATTACTATTTCCTGCGAGATTCTAAACCGGACCAGTGGACAACTGTCAATGTGTAATAACCACAATTTAGCACATGTTATAGAAAACTTAAGGTTTTTATACAACATACATAACACATACCTGAGTAGCAACAATATCATTTGACAATACTTGAGTTCCCGATACACTTTCAACAATGTTGTCTCACTCTGCTGATGATTCTTTCCCTATAAAGTAGCATAACACATTAATAATCAAGTAAATATTATTATAAACTTCAAATAAGTAAATAATGTTTAAAAAACAAATATCATGTCAGAATGGGTGTATAACTCATACCAAGTCTTTGTTTTCGCAATTTTTTATTTTTAACCCTACGTATAATTTCGTCAACCTTCGATTGCTTTCTTTTGCATGGAGGACGACCTTTGCTGCGAACTACCCGTGGACTAATAATTAGACTATTCCCCTTTTTCGGAGGATTGTCCCCCTCTTTACTACCAAGCCCTCCCTCATTTTCCTTCTGCTCCAACTTATTTCTCATGCCAGTCATCAATTCCATCAACATGTTACAGTCTTCCTCATTGTTTGATGTCATATCAGCTACTGTCAGTATTAGATTAGACAACTTCTCAAAACGCTATCCTTCAACGTTTGTGCTCCACCTATTATAACTTACCTTGATTTTCGTATGACATCTCTTTATGTTTTTCTTCCAACGCCATAGAATTTACTTATTTGGAATGTGTGAAACCCTTTTATGAGTCAACATAATAATGGCATGTCTGCATAAAATCCCTTTGAACTCAAACAAATGACAATTACAACAAATATCATATGAACCAAACATCTTCTAAAACTTGATACTCCTCATACGAATCAGACTTTTTCAAAAAAGATAATTCACAATAAATCTTCCCCGCAATCTCTTCTTGAAATTCTTTAAATTTTGCATTTGTGTATGCATTTTGAAATTGTTTCTCAATGGGGTAATTAGTTATGCATGGTATCCAAGACTTGAAAGATCTAAAATCAGTCTCCCTTTCCTTTTCCACTTTATCTCGCAATGCATTATCATATTGTTCCATAAATTGTTTCACTGTTGTTTTGGAATTTACATATCCATCAAAAAATGCATGCATACTTTCACTACGTTGGGTAGTAGATATACCTGCCCAGAAAGTATCTTTAAGAAATGCAGGCACCCAACGTACTCTTTCTTTATACAATCCAAATAACCATTCATTCTCATGAAGGTTATACACATCAATGAATTTGTTCCACCGTTCTTCGAACTCTTCACATGAAAACGAATCATACACAATATTTTGTAACGTAAACTTTATAGTTTCATATTCGTTATACCCTCTTAACTTCTCAGGCAGTTTCTTCATTATATGCCACAAACACCACCTATATCTTGCACCGGGGAAAACAATCTCAATTGCATTTTGCATGGCCTTATCTTGGTCAATGATAATTTCATTAGGAGCAACATCCATGCACTCAAGCCAAGAACGAAATAGCCATACAAATGTCCATGTGTCCTCCTGTGAAATTAACCCACAACCTAACAATGCCGCATGTCCATGATGATCAACCCTCATAAAAGCAGCAAATGGCATATCATACTTGTTCGTTAGATACGTTATGTTGAAGGTCACAACATCACCGAAATCTTTATATGTGGCCCTACATCTAGCATCAACCCATTTCACATTCTTTAATTGACTCTCTTCATCTACATCAATCATGTACCAGAAATTTGAATTCTCCTTTTGCATTTTCATAAAATACTCTAGTACTGTCGAAGCATCTCCAACTCCAAGTCGTAGTCTTCTAACTTTTTCAATGTAATTCCTACAATCTCTTTGTAGAAATGTCAAATTCTCTACACCTCCTGCCTCAACTGAACACGATTGAAAATTTTTACACGGTCTAATCCCAACCTGATCATTAACTTCAAGCCTCATTTTCACAAAAGGTTGTATCGTTCGGTTTACCTTGAAATATCTTCTTTTCATCGGACTTGTAAGATTATGGTTATGTTTCAAGCACAACTGATTTAATTTCCCATTTGTATTCACCATTCAAAGCTGCACTAATCCGACTCTTACAATCTGTTTTTGCAACAGGTTGTTTTTTCAAGGTATTTCTGCATTTACTCCTCTCTTCTCCTCTCCTTCCAGAACAAGAACACGCCACTGTCACGTATCTCATCTCCCCATCATCTCCTTTCTTTGACGTACGTATCATTGCTTCAAAACCCATTTTATTCCCATACGTTCTGTAATACTTCACCAAACTATCAACTAAATCAAACACCATTCCAATATGAGGCTCCACTTCTTCCTCTACACATCCCTTATCTTCTAATTCATCACATTCATTTTCCTGATTCAATGGCTTTATAATAAAGAAAATTAGAATGTGCTAATACAACACATCATAATAAACAATACAATACAGCACATTTAAAAAAGTTTCAAACACAATTTACCTCAACATCATTGAAATGAGGCAAACTGGACTCTTCAATATTTCGTTATTTCATGCACAACTAATACTAGTTTTCGCGTTCACGAATCTAGTTCACAACAGTCGCCAACAAATATTATCTATCAAACATATAGTCAATCCAAAATAGAATATGAAACTAAATGAATATATAAAATAAGTCAAAAATTATTTACCTTAACAAAAAATTCCAAGCTTTAAAAAATTTGATATTTATTTTTGTTTCTCGGTTATCTATATGAAAAGAGGTATTGCTGCTGGTGCTTGGCTGTTGAGGAAGCAACCGGCGTCAAAGCAAGGAATCACAACACGCAGACGAAGGAGAAGCGAAGAAAAACAAATGGCGTAGACGAAGAACAGAAGAAAAACAAATGACGGAGATGAAGGAGAAGGAGAAGAGAAGAAAGAAAATTTGGCGTTTACAAATGAAGCGTATTAGACAAGCCATTCATTAATATTAATTAAACAAAATATTTTTTTCAACAAATATGAACAACATTCCATGAAATGCAGACGACCGTCCAAAGTACATGGACTGACGTCCATACACAAGGAACAGTCGTCCACACTAGATGGACTGACGTCCATGTGTAAATTAAATTTTAAAAAAAATAAAAATTTCACAAACTGGGGACGACAGTCCATCTAGTGTGGACGACCATCCCTACAAGATGGACGACAGTCCATCTAGTGTGGACGACCATCCCTACAAGATGGACGACCGTCCACAACAGATGGACTGCCGTCCCCATTATATTTTAAAACAATTTTTAAAAAAAATTCACAAACGATAGACGGCAGTCCATAATAACTGGACGTCTGTCCATAGAATTTGGACAGGAATCCATTGTTTTTTTTTTAAAACAAAACAACTTTTTATGGACGATCATCCATTCCACTATGAACGACCGTCCAGGATGTATGTATGGACGGTCGTCCGAAATCGTTGGACGGCCGTCCATTTATGTCAGTATTCAATCGTCAAACGTGGCGGTCTCCACGTGTTTCAGTGCAATTGTTCGGTGGATATAGCATTTTTGGTTAGGGTATTTCTAAAACCAATGGGTGTTCATTGCACAGAAGGCAAAACACTCAGGGGTTAGACGTATATTTTAGAATCCAACAAGTGCTCAATAAAAAAAAAGTAAAACACACTAAGGTTTACTTTTAAAAAAAAAAAAAAATCCTAAAAATAATTAAAAAGTAAGGTTACGTAGAGTTATGAGTTTTGTTTTAATTTAAATTTTTGATGGCTTCATTTCCAAGTCGTTCATTAAATTCATAGATTTAGAGATAAAGCTAATGTCAAAAAGCTACGGAGGACAATAGAAAGGAATATAGGGAAAGGGAAAAAGAGAGACTTCTTGCCGAGAAATACGTCGATGAAAACAAAAAAGTGAAGGCATTTTGATATGAGAACATTTTGAAAAGAAAACACTTCTCCCACAGTTAAAAGGTGAGTTGAGTATGGGTCTCCCAAAGTATGCTTCTTTCTCATTTTACAATTTCCCATATCAAATATTTTAATTATTTATTTTTATAATTCCTCATGAGCCCAAAAGAAGTCTTAACAATCACAAAACATACTTTCTATAACATACAATTATACATTAAGAATTTTACTAGAACAAATGAATGACATGAATTTGCATACAATGGAATTGATATATAGAACAAATTACAGAGGCCAAATACAACAACATTAAAGAGGCCTAAAAAAACAAGTGGGATTCTTCTAAACAAGATCATAAACCAAACCCATAAGCCACTGCAATCAAAGCTGTAATGGCATATGGCCATAGACGATGGGGTTGATGCAAATCATCGACACCACTGCATTCATCGTTAGCGCCGCTAAAACATCCAGGCCTTGATATTTTAGCCACACCATCCTCAAAAAGAAAGCTTGCATTATGTTTGCCATTGCTAAACAAGACACACCAGAAATAGGGAGACCCACCATCGGTACCAGTCACAGCAGCCCCAACTTCGGTGTGATTCTTACTGTATAGAATATCTAAGCTTTTGCTGTTTTCCATCAGGATATCCGAAAAAGCTTTAGAAGCATCGACATAAGATGAGTGGCAACCTAGAAAACGACCAGTAATTTGAGAGAGGGATGACGCAAGAACACCACAGTTGGGGGCAAAAGTGTCTGCAAATGAAGAATCAGGAGGTTTCTTGGCATCTGTCCCTCCTACAGCACTACAGTCGCCTTCATATGCTTTTATATACTGCAAAGCAATGCACGCCAGGCCTGGATTATCATAGAGGGATGACTCCTTGTGTGCAGTTCTATTTTTGTTGAGCACAGCCACCAACTCATCAGCAGGGTTGTCGGTTACTTTTGCTGTAGTCATTTGAAATGTCACAATAAAGATGTGCTCGGCATAATGACACAATTAAATCATGGATTTGGAAGAAGAAATAGAATCGTGCCATCATGACAGACAACTATAATTGTCATTCTTTAGGTCTGAAATATCTAAGTTCATACTGCTATCCCAGAATTACGGGTTACCAGTTAAGTGCCATCTAATCATTATTGAAAAAATCATAGAAATACATCAAAGATATAAAACTTAAAGAAGTTAGAATAGAAAAAGAAGAGAAATGCTTTACAGTTTTCAGTACACTAAGAAAATGATGCATAGTTTACGACATAATTTGATTTCTGTAACTCATAAAATCTCTGGAGTACTTAAATGTTTCAGATGTTTCATAGATTCCCAGTGACAGTTCCTAAATCATGAGATAAATGTCCAAAGGCCGAAAAAGCGCTGAGCAAATGTGATCTAGGAAGCATAGCATAGGATTAGGATTCCATTTCATAAGCTTACCGACTTCAATTGATTATTTAATATGAGTATTAGTTCTCTCCGTACAGGCTATATATTTCTCTCTTAGCTCTTCTAACTCTTCTGGACTTCTCCTTTTCCTACTTATTCTCCTTGATTCTATTCTCCTTTTTTCTCTCTATTTCTATATTCTTTATCTTACTCTTCTTCTGCTCTTGAGCTCCTCCATCAAAAGAACTTTAGAAATATCCAGGGAGACTTCTCCAAAGCCAACTTCTTTCAGTAAACTTTGACATCACTATGTTAGTGAGGGCTTCATTCTGGTTTCAGTTCAATAATGGCTTCAACTCTTTTTCTTAAATTAACCCAAATTGATTGAAATAGTTATTTGTGACAACCTAGACCGATGGAAGAGTGGTGAACAACTACTCTTCATCGCATGGTGATTGGTGAATGAGTAAAAGTTTTGATGCTAGCAACTCACTAGTCTCCAAAATTACTTTTCCCCTTTATGAGGTCGCATCAATCCTCTGAGTCAAAATATCACATTAGGAGAAATGCTAAGTATGATCTATCATAGACATTGTTGTTCACTCTTTTCTCTCATGTTCATATGTGCCTATCAAACTTTTATCATTGGCAAATAATTTAACCATTATCCTGTACCATTGCCCTATCAACATGCCATTGTCAAAATTAAATAACAAAAATTAATATATCTGTCAAAATAAGGAGTAAAAGAGTATAGGAGATTGGTGTTAGCATTACAATGCCCTATCACTGTTCAGGTGTTACATTAAAGTCCTCACATTCGCAGATGTGGCTTGGTTCTCTTGGCTACATAACTATAAATTGTGTAGGAAAAACGAAAAGAGTGATAAATGTATTAATTGCACAAAGGACAGGAACTGCAAAAAGCACAAGGACGGCTTAAATCTAAATCAAATGGTGAGAGGCAGATAGACAGAAATAAACCCCTGAATAATTCAAAAATAGAAACAAAGCCTTTCTCAGTATCCATGAACATAGGCCATGGCATTTTTAAGTTTCCTTGTTAATCACTTTCCAAAGACTGAATCAGATTGAAAAGATTCACTCTGTCAAGCAAAATTCCTAACTCAAACATGGAAACTAAAACACTATCCTGTCGTTATGCGAAGTAAATGTGTGTAATACCCACACCGTCACACTGAGCTCTTCAGAAAGATGCTTTAGGATACAGAACTTCGAGAGTAAATATGACAACTGTCCCAGGCATAAAGGATGAACGATATAGCATAATATCTCTTCTTTCTTCAACTCTCTCTTTAGTCATCTATGCTGCTTATATTTTGCACAAATTGTGCTCCCTTTCACATAATGTGCTTCCTTCTTTAAGCATAGGTACCCACAGGGTAATAATATGAACCCGAACAAGTTCACACAAGAGTCATTCATGCTCACCGGACTTGCTTTGGGACTTCACACAAACATTTTTTTTACCCAAAACACGTCTACTTATTTGACACAAATAATGCTTATAAACTAGTCTGATGAACTTGGCATCCTCATGAGGATTTACTTTGTTAAAGCAAACAAAGACTCATATACTAGCCTAATAGACATCGCATAATCGAAGGGTCCATTACACTCGAGCACACTGTAAAAACATTTGTAACAATATGAATTTCCTTAAGCAAGATATTAATCATTTTAGATACACAACCCTTACGGTTTTGTTCTTAGGCTTTTCAAACCAAAAGACCTACTACAGTTTTACTAATGGGAAGTGAGTCTTTACAACGATGTTGGATTTTGAAACCCCATCCTTACCTTATTCATCATAACCACTCTATACTGTGCCTCAGAAAGATTAGTTAGTAACCAGCATGTCGACATCAATAGATCATACTAGCATTAGAAATAAAGTATGCACGGGAAAGAAACATCAGCATAAGTTAAGGTCATTTTGGTTTTAGTTTCCAAAGCTCAGCCAATCAACATTGTTAAAAAATGGTTGACTTTAATGTTCTTTGACCTTCTCTGGTTTTCTGAACATTACAAAAGATCAAATTTTTAACTGCCTCACCTAAATCTTTAAAAAACCCAAAAAGAGAAAAATATTTCATGCACAACTAATACCAGTTTTCGCGTTCACAAATCTAGTTCACAACTGTCTATAAAACGAATATGATGTTATCTATCAAACATATATTCAATCCAAAATAGAATGGAAACTAAATGAATATATAAAATAAGTCAAAAATTCTTTACCTTAATAAAAAATCCGAGCTTTAACAGGTTTGATATTTTGTTATTTTTGTTTCTCGGTTATCTCTGTAAAACAAGGTATTGCTGCTGGTGCTTGGCTGATGAGGAAGCAACCGGCGTCGAAGTAAGGAATAACAACAGGCAAGGAAAGAGAAGCGAAGAAAAACAAATGGCACAGACGAAGAATAGAAGAAAAACAAATGACGCAGATGAAGGAGAAGAGAAGAAAAAAATTCTAGCGCTTAAAAATGAAGCGTATTAAGTCCATGTAGTATGGACGGCCGTCCATATTGCATGGACTGCCATCCATATTTACATTATATTTTAAAAAAAAAAATTAAATAATTATAATTTCACAAACTGGGGACGGCAGTCCATCTAGTATGGACGACCGTCCCTACAAGATGGACGGCCGTCCATAACAGATGGACTGCCGTCCTGTTATATTTTAAAATTTTTTATAAAAAAATTCCAAAATTTTAGGGACGGGCGTCCAATTAAAATGGACGGCCGTCCCTATAGGATGGACGACCGTCCACAGATGATGGATTGACGTCCATCTTTATGGACGGGCGTCCAATTAAAATGGATGGCCGTCCCTATAGGGTGGACGACCGTCCACATATGATGGATTGGCGTCCATCTTTATGGATGGTCGTCCATCCTATAAGGACGGTTGTCCATTTTAGTTGACCCTTGTCCCTAAAATTTGGACGGGCGTCCATCATTTTTTTTTTTAATCTAAACAACTTTTTATGGACGGTCGTCCATTCCACTATGAACGATCGTCTGGGATGTATGGACGGTCGTCCATTCCACTATGAACGATCGTCTGGGATGTATGGACGGCCTTCCGAAAACGTTGGATGGCCATCCATTTATGTTAGTATTCGATCGTCCAACGTGGCGGCCTCCACGTGTTTCGGTGTAATTTTTCGGTGCAATTCTTCGGTGGATATAGCATTTTTGTTTAAATAATGGATGGACATTCATCTAATAGGAACGTTCGTCCATTGAGTAGGGACAACTATCCATAATATATGAATGGGCGTCTATGATTTTTGTTTTCAATTTTTTTAATTTAAAGTATGGACAGACGTCAATTCTAAGTGGATGCCCGTCCATATAATATGGATAAGAGTCTATTGTTATTTTCTTATGGATGTGAGTCCATTTAAAATGAACGGCCTTCCAAGCGGATGCCCATCCATATTGATGGACGGTTATTCATTCGCGGAATATTTAATAATATACTATGTGACTGCATCTACTTAGTTGACATGTCATTCAGTGCAAATCTTCGTGTCCATAACATTATGGGTTGTTTTTAACATATTTCTGATTGAGCCTAACCTCAGGAGGTGTATGGTAATTGACTATTATTTCAAATAAGCAATTTTTTTTTTTTTCAAAATTAAGTTTTCAATCAATTTATATGGGGCAGTTTATTAAAAGACCATCTGAAGTTTACATTTAATTAAAAGGCTATCAAGTTTTAAAGTGTTAACTAAATAGCCATATTATTGATTAAGGGTAATTAGTGCTTAATTATGATTAATGAAGTATTATGTAATCTTTTCAAAATTATACTATATTCCCACAAACCTGAAATTCTTGCAAACAAACCCAAACACCTTCTTCTTCGTCCTGCCATTAACGCATCTCTACCTCTGCATCTTCTTCTCTTCTTCTTAGCTTCATCTACATCTTCTTCTCTTCTTCTTAGCTTCGTCTACATCTTTTTCTTCCTCTTNTTACATAATACTGCTTTAATCCTAATTAAGCACTAATCAAGTTTAATTACCCTTAATCAATAATATGGCTATTTAGTTAAAACTTTAAAACTTGATAGCCTTTTAATTAAATTCAAACTTGAGAGGTTGTTTTAATAAACTGCCCCGAAGAAGAGTAGTAGATGAGGTCCTTTTGTTTTTTAAAACTTTTTTGGGACCAAAATGTTTAGACCTAATTTTTTTTTTTTTTTAAATCCTCGAAAGGCAATGGACGAACGTCTATCTAATAGGGATGCCCGTTCATTAAATATGGTGCTATTATGGACAGATGTCTATGATTATTGTGCAAATTTTTTTTATTTAAATAACAATAATGCTACGGACATCGGTGTTTTTACACCGAAATTTCATACCGGCTTACGTGTGTGCTGACTTAGACCATTCAACGCATTTTAGCATTATTAAATTTTTTCTAATGAACGGCCGTTCACTAATATGGACTCCCATCCATATTATATGGACGACAGTCCATTTACTACGGACGGGCATCCTCATTTAGAGGACGCCCGTCCATTGCTAAATGAAATAAAAAATTATAAAAAAAATTAGGGACGGCCGTTCATAGGTTATGAACGGCCATCTATACATATAGGATGGGCGTTCATATGTTAATGGACGCTCGTCCCTTAATTTTGGATGGGTGCCCGCAAATAAGGGACGCCCGTCCTTTTTTTAAAATATAAAAATTTTAAAAAAATCTGGGACGCCCGTCCATACTTTGGTTTAAAAATATTTTAAAAAATATTTGGACGCCCATCCATAAATTATGGACGGGCGTCCCTTAAGTATGGACGGACATCCATAAGGAATGGATGCCCGTCCATTACGTATGGATGGCCGTCCATATAGAATGGACGGGCATTCTTTCCATATGGACGGCCGTCCATAATTAAGGGACACCCATCCATTCCTTATGGACGACCATCCTTTATTTTTGGACGGGCGTCCCTACTCAAATTAAAAACAAAAATTTCAATTACAAAGCTTTTAGGTTAAAAACTTTTGGGGAAAGTGTTTAAAACAAAAATCGACAGCGGTCTTCCTCTTCTTCTTCCATCTGCGCTCTGGTTCATCATGT